CATATCTGACATCCAACTTGTTTAACTCTTCAAAGAGAGGGAAAGTCTAGTGTTACCCAACCAACCAGTGAGGACATTTGGGCTTAGAAAAGTCTTGTGCCTTTTCTGAGTTCCCTGCTCCTGGATGGCAGGTCCAGATTCAGAGCCCAGCCAACTGACCCTGACGGGTGCTCTCTCAGCCACACACTGGCTCTGTGGGTGGACTGGTCCATTTTCTATCTGTCAGGAGGGGCGGGACTACTGTCATAACTCCCATGGAGCATTTAAAAAACACATTTTATGGCTTGTAGGTCTCATTGTAATGTTTTTTTGTTATTTGATTTGTGGAAGTATATGGAGTGTGACTATGAAGTAATGAGGCTGGTTTTATTGAGTGGTTGGTGGAACTGGGTCCCTTCACAGGAGTCTGCTGTCTTGCTGGAAAGCAATATCTTAACAATACAGTGGTTGGCAAACTGCGACTCGCGAGCCACATGTGGCCCTTTGGCCCCTTGAGTGTGGCTCTCCACAAAATACCACGGCCTGGGTGAGTCTATGTTGAAGAAGTGGCATTAGAAGAAGTTGAAATTTAAAAAATTTGGCTCTCCAAAGAAATTTCAATCGTTGTCCTGTTGATATTTGGCTCTGTTGACTCATGAGTTTGCCTACCACTGCCTTAACACAATCGATGCCCTGTGATGTCACACTGCCAGGGAGCGTGGGGGCCAGCGAGGAAGTGAGATGTAGGCAACAGAGTCTCCAGTGGGTCAGAGCTGGAGCCTCCACCTTCTGAGTCACTAAGGGGCAGGCCTGAGTTTCTCATGCAGCCAATAGCTGCTGTGCTTACTTGGTACCAGGCTCCAGTCCACGGTACAGGAGTCAGGGATGCGCAAGGCAAACACCTGCTCTCGGGATCTTGCGATTCTAATGCGAGAAAGACAGTCACACACATGCACACACATCCGAAGAGTCAGATAAGGGGCTGAAGTCCTATCCAGTGAATTCTCTAGCTATCAGTAGATCACTTTATCACTATTGGGAAATTCCTTAAAAGGATCTTTCTTTAATGCAAATCTTATGTGCCTTATTCTTGTTGGTGTTGTTCTTATTTTTAGTTTTTTTTTGTCCACTAGATTATTATTATTATTTTTTACTTTTCATTTTTATATATATTTTTTATTATTGATAGTATTGTAGGTATCTCCCATTTACCCTCTGCTCCTTACCCACCTCCCCGCTTCTCCCAACCTGTCACTGGGTTGTTTTTGTTGCTTTGTTTGTTGTGGTCAATTTCAGTAATTTTGCCTCTATAAACATATCATACATAAGTAATTTTGGCTTAGAGAAAGGGGAAGAAACCAGTGAGCGCTGCCATTCTGTCGGCATTGCGAGAGAAGTTTCCACATGTATCCTCCATGCACATGTATTGTCCGTCCGCATGTATTATTCACTTTTATTCTCATGGCAACCTTGTGCAGAAGCTCTTCTTAACCCTGTTTACAGATGGGAAGATACAGAGTCAGAGAGGATCAGCGATGTGTCCAAGATCGCAGATCTTATAAGGCAGAGCTGGGACCTGAAGCATGAAATTTAATTCATGCCCAATATCATTCTTTCCGCTAGCCCGCGACGTAGAGTCCTGTGTTAGAAAGGATGTGATGTGGTCTCTGACAGAAAGAAGAACAGGTCAATACTAAAGTCTGGCCTCGTGCCAGCAGCAGACTAGGAACACCCTTACCAAACATTTGCCTCAGTTAGCAAGAGAAGTGATGGCCCACATGCTTACCTAGCGCCCATCCTGTGAGCAGCAATTCTGTTGAGATTGCTGGGGGTTTTAAAGAGGACGCTACTTGTGTCTCATCCCAAGTATTGTGTCTGGCACGTGTTGCCATTCTTGGAACGTTCTGGAGCCTAAAGACTGAGCCCAGTGGAGCCTTGCTTCTCTCTTCACTAGCAGACCTTTCTAGTTTCCTTCACTTCCTGTCCTGAGGGCCCCACAGAGATGATTCTCAGGCTAAGCCACTGATTTACCCCCTGGGTCCTTCATTCCTGAGGGAGGGAGGGAGGGAGGGAAGAAGGGAGGGAGGGAGGCTTCTGTAATCTACATATGCATCACACAGGATTTTCACTTTGTGATTCTGCCTAGTGCACATGCCGAACAGCTGGGTGCAGCCTTCTCTCAGATAAACACAAGCTGTAAGTTTTCCTTGTTTATGAATAACACACAGTTTGAAATTGCTTTTACAAGTGGATACAAATTTCATTAGATAAATTCAGATGCTTCTGTTGGATCCAGGACTCCCAGTCACCACCCTCCTCTGGGCAGCCCCTGCAGGGTACAATGAAACCTCATTAGAAACCACTTCTGAGTCTTGGGTGTTTTCTAATTCTGAAGTTGGGTCCCCTCTAGATTCAAAGAGAGACCTGCCCTGTTTCTCATCCCCCCATCCCCCCCACCTCTCTCTCTCTCTCTCTCTCTCTCTCTCTCTCTCTCTCTCTCTCTCTCTCACACACACACACACACACACACACACACACACACACACACACACACACCTTTCAGATAGCTTGGGAATTCACTCTTGAAACCCCTGCCTCTGTAAACATACCACTTCTGGAGTCACCCCTACCACAGGAAATTCTACCTCCCAGTTACCAATTCAACTTGGGAATCATCCTCAATTCCTTCCTTGTCCACAACCCCCACATCCAAACCCTCAGGAAGTCCTAAACACAATGGTATTTTCAAACTACACACCTCGTCTCTCCACTTCCCTCCATCACCATTGCTCCCATCATTTAGTCCCTCTTCTCCTCCCTGCTTCCGGTCTATACACCTGTGATACATTCTTTGTACAACAACAAAAATGAAATTGCAAAACTGTGCCAATTAGATTCTGTCACCTCTCTGCTTGAAGTTTTCCAAAGTGAGTGCACTGGAAGCAACTCTGCAATTTGTATTACAGATCTCCCTAAATAGCAAGATGTCTATGGGCTTTGAATCAAAGCTCTCGTTTAAAATAGATCAATGACTTCATTTTCCTGATATCATTTTTACATGTCACCATTTGTTATCAAAAGAAAGTGGGAGTTATGCCATATCATCATAATTTATGATTACTAAAAACATCCACTGTGTTAAGTGTGTACCGCATGAATTGTCACCTGCTATTAACCATGTTTTTTATTTTCTGCACTTGGTGATACTTGGTCAGATTCTGGAGAAATTAATCCGAGCTCCAAACAAAGTGCTAGTCTGGCCTCTGAGAATGCTCTTGCCAAGTCCCCTCCCAGTGCCTTCATGTGTTATGGTCATATTTCCATAGAAAGCCAGAAATCAGCCCAATTCTTTTTGGGACCTGTCTTTCCCCAGCTCTTGCTTTTTAAATTTTTTTTATTAGATACTCAAATAGTATGGAATAGGATGAGGATTATTTATATTGTGCTGTAAGGAGATTCAGATTCATCCGTTTGGGAGACAGAGCAAGTCAAGGGCCATGGGCACTTCCCGTGTGAGCCATCAGGGCAGAAAGAGTGTCCCAGCTCCTTGTACAGGCCCAGGGGCTCTGCTGTGGTCTGTGGCTCGGCCAGGCAGAGAAGGGACCGACTCAGTACTGGACTTACACATGGGACCTCTTCAGCTGCCTGACCTGGGAAACTTAGCTCATCTCCTTAGAGTTTGGCAACTTCTGACAAGACATCCGGGGAGGGAAGGTGCTAGTATCCATTCCCAATTTGCAGTTTTCCCCAAATTTCCCCCCTCTCCCTTCCCCTTCCCCCCGACTCCAGCAGCCCTGCTCCACCTGCCTGCCAGCAGCTGAGCCACCTGGACTGCGCCCCTTTCTCTCCCTGGCTCTGGGTATTGGGGATAGTTGAGCCTGGCCCAAGCATCCACCTGGGTCCCTATTGGGCTCCCTGCCCGTGTGGATGTGGCGCTGCGAGGGTTAAGGTGGATGCCTGCTCCCAGCCCCGCGTCCCAAGCCCCTGCCCAGCACCTGGCACTGAAGAAAGTGGTGGTCAGCGATGGAGCTGCTGCCATGACAACCTGGTGGTAGGGCCCTGGGCTTGGGGGCTGCTCCTGGGAGGAAGGCAGTGTGCAGGCTGGGGTGGCTCCTGAAGGCGGCATCTCGCGCCCGCCATCCCTTGGAGGAGGAGGGGGCGCAGCCTCTCCCAGCTCCCCTGCACCTAGTCTGCACCGGGCAGGCGTGCTCAGCGGGCTGGCAGCGGGGCCCCTGGCGGCCAGTGCTCTCTGGGCTACAGGGAAAAAGTACAGGGTCCTGGGTTCTAGGAGGATCCATCCCCGAGCCCGCCTCCTGTCCCCTCCTGGAACTTTGTACCGCCTCTGGGTACCACATAGGAGACCTGGGCTGTGTACCAACACAGCTCCCCGTCAGTGCGATCCAATAAAGCGTTTTCTCCTCTCTCCGAGGCAGCAGCGTTTTACGGCATCGCCTTTCTGCCAGACTTGCCTGGCTTCTCTGGGTTATAAACTTTTGATGCCAGACCTCTGCAGAGCCTGCCCCACTGCATTGTAAAGTAGCATCTCCTCGGAGAGAGAGGCAGAGAACGAGCAGCCTGTGGTGACCTTCATCCCTGCACCTTCCTTCCTGCTCTCCCTTCCAGGCTGCCTCCCGCCTCCCCGGGGAGCGGGAAGCGTCAAGAAAGCTCTTTTTTAGATGCAGGAGGGGCATCTGGTTCTGCCAGGCTGGAGAGCTTAGGCAGAAGAACCACTAGACTCCGGAGGGAGAGGCTGGACTCACTGCTTCTCCTCCTCCTCCTCCTCCTCCTCCCTCCCTCCCTCCCTGCGCCGCTGCCTGGCTCGCTCAGCCCTGCCTCTGCCCACACCGCTGCCTGAGACCCGCCGGTGTGTGGGGCGGGGCCCCCCGGACCCTGCCCAGCGGCCCGGCGGCGTTCTGGGAAGTTGTGGCTGCCAAGGAGGATGGGGGTCTGTGGGTACCTGCTCCTGCCCTGGAAGTGCCTCGTGGTCGTGTCTCTCAGGCTGCTGTTCCTTGTGCCCACAGGAGTGCCCGTGCGCAGCGGAGATGCCACCTTCCCCAAAGCGATGGACAACGTGACGGTCCGGCAGGGCGAGAGCGCCACCCTCAGGTAGGGAGCTACACTTCAGCGGGGGTCTGAGCCTCTGGGCTGTGGTTCTATGAAGGGTGAGTGAGCAAGGGAGAGGAAGGCTTGGGAGGAGCAGGGGAGGGGACCTCTTGTACATGGTGTCACCTGACACTCCTCCTGGACAGGTGTGTCGTTGGCTTGAGCTTCTCTGGTTCTGGGTCTTAGAAGTGCACACAGAGGTCCATGCTTGGGACTCCGTCGTGGCTAGGAGTGTGGGATGTGGCTAGATGCACTTTTGCCAAGGCGAGGATGGAGAGCCTTGGGATGGCCACCCTGGAGCTTTGGGGTGTCTTGGTGGCTGTCTCACCTGCCAGCAGGTGTGTAATGAGGCAGGACATGCTCAGGATGGGCTGATGGCCCCGCTCAGAGAGACACTGGCAATCTCAGGCTCTGGAGCTGCTCTTGCTGGGCCATGGCCCCCTGGGAGGCTGCTCAAGACTCAGACATCCATGTCAGCCGTGCATGGTTCATGGTGCTTGGTGTGTGGTGTGTGGTGCTCCTGGGCCCCAATTATAAGTGATGAGGATATTTATTTATTTATTTATTTATTTATTTTTCGCCGGCTCAGGACCAGGAGAGGAAACATGTAGCTTTTATGCAAGGACATCACTCCTGTGCAAAAAAGCACCATCGGAACGCTTTTTGTTTTACCTTAATGAGTTACAGAGAACCGCTTGCATGCCCCAGGCAGAGGGATGGAGATGCTCAGAATATGAACCTTTGGGGACCTGACCTGCTGCGGCAGAGACTTTCATAAAAATGCAGCCCCAACTTTCCACCAGCTCAGCAGATACCATCTTTTATCCCTTTAATGAGGCAGCCCTGGTCCTGGGAGACAGATTCAGGGATGTCCCGGCTTCACTGGGGCTCACAGGGTACACAGGGTGAATGCATTTGCCCTGCCTGGGCCTTTGGCTGTTCGAGGGAAGAATAAAACATTCTGCCCCAGGCTTTGCAGCCAAAAGGCCTGGCTGCTCCGAGGAACGGAGGAGGGCGGGGTGTCCTTTCTGTTCTTCTCTCAGCTCCCCTGGTTGGACTCTCGCTACCTCTGGACAAGCCTCTCCCCGGGGAAGGAACTGAAGGCCTTTTGAAGTGCCAGCAATGATTTCCCCCTAAGCCCAAAGGCCAAGGTTGGATTCTTGTCACTTTGGGTGGTTCTCTGCTACTTTTTCTTGCGAGTTAGAGAATAGGTCCCGGGACCCTGGCTGCTGGAGTTCAGGGGCCTCAGGATGAGAGAGAAAAGAAAAGGCTAGAGCCAGACTTCCTGGTCACTGGGCGTCCTTCTGTCCGTCTCAGAGTAGAGTGCCATCTGCCTATTTGATTGCCCCTCAAAAAGTGTGGGGAGTCCCCTCCCGGGGAGATGGCTCTCAGGATGCTCATTTGCAATTGGCTCAATGGCTCTGAGTAGCACTATGTAAGCACCTTCACCAAGGGAATGAATGCTGGTAACTGTTGCCAGGTGCGAAGTTATGTAGCTGCTGCCATGCATCTGTCTCTTGTTATCTTCTTATCTACTTCCGGGGGCAAAGAGGGCCAGCCTTCCTTGGGCCTCAGTGCTGACTTCCAGAATCCTTTGCCCTCTTCCTTCCCCTAAAAGTTACACTTGAACTTTTTCCGCTCGCCAGGATGCAGTAAGACCTCGCCACCAGCAGAGGGCCAGCTTCCGTCTACCTTATATTTATTTTCTTTGATTTTATTAGCTGCTGGCCTGTTTTCATGATCTTCAATTCTGATGTTTAGCAGCTGGGCTTGGTAATGGGAATGGGAGTGGGGAAAAAAAGGCAGAGCTGAATAGTTGCTTTTGTGTGCTTTGTTTAAAGGGGGGAGGGGGAAACAACAACACAAAAAGCCCTTCCCTGCTCAAGGATAACTGCTGTTACCTGATTGCATGCTTTGATTTTTAAAAAGTGAGCACATGTCTTCTGTGGGTTTTGCCTCTCCTGTCTGTATAAGTTGCCCTGTGGTGCAGAAATCCATCACATTATCCACAGCATTTTAATCCCTTTCTATCCATTTTTTTTTTCTTCTTTTTTACCTATTGGGTTCTTCTCTTTTATTACCTTCTTCATTTTTAGGAGATGCCTCTATTTTAAATGTTTGTTTTTTTTCCCCAAAAAAAGGCGAAATAATAATGAATCATAATGTATTTTCTTCTGTTTTGCCTTCACCACTTTAATTTTTATCATTCCCTGCTATCTTAAGTTTTGATTTCACTACTAGCACAGTGTTTCTTACAGCAACATACATATCCCCTGCGCGTTTCTGGGGTGTCTCCACCTCTCTCCTTTTGTTCTCTCTGCTCCGCTGGTTTGTTGGTGAAAGGCTGTGTTTCCATCTGGGAGAAGTACTTAGTTGTCAGAACTCAGAGAAAGAATCCTTGCTCCCAGTCTCTGGAAGTCCATGGCTTCAACCCAGATTAAGGCCATGTTTTATTTTCTATTGGGTGATGCTTTTAAAGCAATGCCATTCTTGAGTATGGTCACTCTTTAGTCTCCTTACAGATGTCCCACTGGGAGGAGGCAAGAGTTTGGGAATTTATTGGTCCCAATTCACCAGATGCTCAGAATGTATTAAAAAAGCATTGAATGATTCCCACACCATCAGCCACAGCAAGTCTTTTCAAATGTGGCTGCGGTGGATCAAAGAATTCTGAGCATGTGTCTTCATCTCCAACAGTGACATTGAAGGCCAAGGGCAGAGTAGGGTAAGCAAAGCGATGGAGAGAGCTGGGTACCTCCTTGAATTTTCCCATGAGAAATTGCCTGGCTTAGAGAAGGATGATTTTCTTCCTTGGAGACATCGATTTTCATGTGCTAGATCTTTGTTTGCATTGAAGGATGTTGGCCAACTGAAGTTATGGACGTGGGTGAAACTCATTTGGTCTAAGTGAGACCATATTATCTTTTCCATAATTACTTCAAAAGGCGACTGGAGAAGTAAAAAAAATTAATTATTTGAATATTGAGTTAGCTTGCCTCCTTGGAAGAGAAAGGATATGGAAATAGTGGTGATATTCACTATGTCTGAGTTATGGCTTCTATGAATCTGATTTGAATTCATTATTACAAATGGGCCCTCTTGGCCAGAATAATTTCATTACAATTATCTGCTGTTGGATTAAAATGGTCAGAGCTTAGCTATGACAGGTCTGTGGAGTCCTGGGTCTAAATCATACCCACGTTGGAAGGAGCCCGGATGCTCAGGGTGGCCCACTATAGTGTCTACCTCAGTTGCACAGATGATGGTGGGATGTGCCTTCCTTGTGGGCCTCAGTCTCCTCTCATTGGCTTTCCCTCCTCACTGGGATCACATCATGAACACTTTGAGGGGTGTGAGGTAGGACAGAGACAACAGTTGTTGCTGTAACTGTTCCCATAAATGGAATAAACTGTTGTTGTTTTAATTTTTCATATGGCGGGATAATCAGTTTTGCCGATCCAGCTTTGCTGATGTGGACTTATGCTTTCAAATCTCTAGAATGCCCCTGAATTTTCATTAGGAGTCGAAGGAGCTAATCCCTTCAGAACCAAGTATCTGAGGGTTACCTACCACCGGGGACTAATCTAAGCAGCAGGATTTTGCCGATGCAGTGGGGCAAAAAGCTTTCTGTGCTTTGCCTGCGTGTTTCTCTGTATTTTGCACTCCCCAGCAGAGGCTTTTGTTTAGGGCTAAATGAGAGAATTCAGACTAAGCAATAGGTTATTCAAAACCATTGAGGGACTTTGCATGTTAGTGCTTAAGTTGTCGAAGTCCAGTGAGGACTTGGAGAAGTGCAAAGGCTTTGCTCTTGGTACCGCCGGCCTGGCTGCATATGTCACTGCTGGGCTCCTTGCCAATGGAATCAAAGCTCTGGAGGGGGCACGGGTGTGGGCATTTAACAGCTTCTTCCTGTGTGTTTAATATGGAGCCGGAGTCGAGACCCACTGCCTTAAAGCCCTTTCCTGCCCCAGAGCACCTGAGCAAGGCTGGTCTCTAGGGGACCTACCCCCACATACGTGTCTCCTCTGTGCCTGCACATACCCTGTTTTCCCGAAAATAAGACAGTGTCTTATATTAATTTCTTCTCCAAAAGTTGTGCTAGGTCTTATTTTCGGAGGATGTCTTATTTTCGGGGAAACACGGTACCTACCAGTCATGGGCTGCATTGGCACTCTAGGCAGGGCACTGGGCTCAGCGGCCTGAACACCTGGGTTTGATTCTTATTCTACCACTAAATAACAGCATGGTTTTGAGTGCTTAGGTTCTATTGCAAACATGTGGGCACAGTATCTCCCCAGACTGTGACATCAGGTGCGATGAAGTATATGGCAATTTTCTGTGAGCGATAAGGCATCGTAGAGGTGCAAGATATCACTGAGCACCATGGCACTCCTCAATCACCACCTGAGGCATTTCGTCTGCTCTGCCTTCTGCTCTGCCTTCTGCTCCTCCTAATGCCCCTACCTTTCCCGATCCCCACCCACATACATATACACACCTTTATAATGTACCTGTCTCTTCCTCATTCCACTCAGCGTCCTGCTTCCTGCCTGTGGTCAAGAATTATCCCCATCTGAATTCTAATAGCTCTTGCTGCATAGCTCATTTCCAACAGATGCAACCTGTGAACCTGCCACTCATGTGTGGCCGTGGTTAGGCGGTGAGCTCCTGGGCTTAGGAGCCATGTCTTATGTGCTGAGCACAGGCACTTGGATGGCTACTAAGGATTAAAATAATCGATTGGGTCAAATGTTTTCGTCCATCTTAACGTGACTCAGTTTCTTCTGATGTCTGATTGCCTCTGCAGCAATGACCTGTTCATATCTGAAGGGTTTCATGCTCTTCAAAACATGATGCCGGAACATTCAAGCACAGTGGTTGGTGAGAGAGCTTGGAGGCCTGAGGGATTTTTGGGTGGCGCTTAAGTCATTTGCCAGAGGGGACAGTTGACTCCCCCATTGGTTGCAACCAGCCCAGAAACCATGAAAAAGGCTTCGCTATCT